GAAAGAGACAATACATAACATAAAATATTAACCTGATAGAACATGATAAATTCTAAGAAGAAAAAAGAGAAGCAAGGTAGACGGTGTTAAGGGCTTGTATACATTTGCTTCTGCTCAGTCAAATATGATCAGTAACTGTAAAAATAATTCCCAATTTTTTATTACCTCTCTCTACCTCTGGTTTAGTTTGCCCTTCAAATTTAGAAGATCGAGTCATAGGGAAAAAGTAATTTGTGTGGTCATATGGTCTTCATCTAGCTGTCTTTTGCCATTCTATTATAAAAATAGACCTGAAGACTTATATTCTCTGCTTTCCCTGTAGCCTTCATATACCTCAAGCAAATGCCCTCTCACTCACCACTTTCAACATATATTAAGATACTATATGGGTTTAGTATATATTCTAGTTTCTGTATTTTAGTCTGTTGATCTATATGTCTATTCCCATGTTAATATTAATATAATACCACCATGTTTGGATTCCGATAGTATTACTACATAAATTTTAGTATTACATAACATGGCAAATACATATAGTAAAAATGTAGTTACTCTTTTAACAATTCTCCTGGCTATTCTCACACACATTTATTCTTCTCAATGAACTGTTAAAGCATCATTTCCAGTTTTAAAAAATATTGGATTCTGCAGAACAGCAAAAAGAAGAAAGAATCCAAAAAATGAAGATAGTGTAAGGAGCCCTTGGGACAGCTTCACGTATACCAACATTCACATCATGGGGTGCTGGAAGGAAAACAGAGAAAGTAAGAAACTGAAAACCTATTTGAAAAAAATAATGACATAAAACTTTCCTAACCTGGTGAAGGAAATAAACATACAACTCCAGGAAGCACATAGAGTCCCAAACAAGATGAACCCAAAGAGGCCCACACCAAGAAACATCATAATTAAAATGCCAACAGTTAAAAACAAAGAGAGAATCTTAAAAGCAGCAAGAGGAGTTGGTTACCTACAAGGGAGCTCCTATAAGAGTGTCAGCTGATTTCTCAACAAAAACTTTGTAGACAGAAGGAATTGACAAGAAATATTCAGGGTGATGAAAAGCAAAGACCTACAACCAAGATTATTCTACCTAGCAAAGCTATTACTTAAAAATCAAAGGACAGATGAAGAGGTCCCCAAACAAGATAAAGCTAAAGGAGTTCATACCACCAAATCTGTATTACATGAAATGTTAAAAGGTCCTCTTTAAGAAGAAGAAGGAAAAAAATTAAAAATACAAACAATAAAATGGCAGTAAATACATATCTATCAACAATTGAATAAAACAAACAACAAACAAACAGAACAAAACAGACTCATGGATAGAGTACATTTTGATGGTTGCCAGATGGGAGGAGTTTGGGGGGATGAGTGAAAAAGGTGAAGAGATTAAGCACAAATTGGTTGTAGCAGAACAGTCATGGGGATGTAAAGTACAGCATGGGGAATATAGTCAATAATGTTCTAATAACTATGTATGGTGTCAGATGAGTGCAAGATTTATCAGGATGATCGCTTAGTAAGTGATCTAACGACTGGAGTGTACACATGAAACTGATATGTTTTTTAAATGTTTTCTATTGTTGTTCAATTACAGTTGTCCCACATTTTTCTCCATTGCTTTCTTCTGCCGCACCCCACCCCCCGACTCCCACAGTCAATCCCTACCCCATTGTCCATGCCCATGGGTCCTCTATACATGTTCCTTGACATGCCCCTTCTCCTTATTTCTCCCATGGTTCCTCTCTTTCTTCCCTTCTGGTCACTGTCAGTTTGTTCTTTATTTCCATGTCTCTGGTTATATTTTGCTCATTTGTTTTTTTTATTGATTAGGTTCCACTTATAGGTGAGATCATATGGTATTTGTCTTTCATTACCTGGTTTATTTCACTTAGCATAATGCTCTCCAGTTCCATCCGTGTTGTCACAAAAGGGTAGGAGTTCCTTCTTTCTTTCTGCTGCAGTATTCCTTTGTAGAAATGTATCACAGTGTTTTGATCCACTCATTTACTAAGTGATGGGCACTTAGGCTGTTTCCAGCACTTGGCTGTTGTAAATAAAGCTGCTTTGAACAATGGGATGCATAGGTTATTTTGAATTGATATCTCAGGATTCTTATGGTATATCCCAACAGTGGAATCACTGGATCAAAAGATGCAAATAAATAGAAGCATATACCATGTTCATGGATTGGAAGAGTTAACGTCAGTAAAATATCCATACTACCCACAGCAATCTATAGATTCAATGCAATCCTTACCAAAATACCAATGACATATTTCATAGACATAGGACAAATATTTCAAAAATTTATAAGGAACCATAAATGACCCTGAATAGCTTCAGCGATTTTGAGAAAGAACAAAGTAGGCAGGATCACAATACCTGATGTCAAACTATATTACAAGGCCACTGTACTCAAAATAGTCTGGTACTGGTATAAGAACAGATACATAGACCAATGGAACAGAATAGAGAACCCAGAAATAAACCCATGTCTCTATGGTCAATTAATATTTGACAAAGGGGGCAGGAGCATAAAATGGAGTAAAAATAGCTTCTTCAATAAATGATGCTGGGAGATCTGGACAGCTACATGCAAAAAAATGAAACTAGACCACCAACTTACACCATACACCAAAATAAACTCAAGATAGATAAAAAAATTAAACATAAATCATGACACAATAAAAGTCCTGGAGGAAAACATAGGCAGGAAAATCTCAGATATTCCAGGCAGCAATATTTTCATGGATACATCCCCTAGGGCAAGGGATACAAAGGAAAGAATAAACAAATGGGACTTCATCAAATTAAAAATCTTCTGCACGGCTAAAGAAAACATCAGCAAAATGAAAAGGGAACCAACTGTATGGGAAAATATGTTTGCCAATGTTACCTCAGACAAGGAAATTCTTTTGAAATTTATTTTGGGTATAAGACTCTCTAAAGTCTGATGAAAGTGTAAAACACTTGCTCTAGTTTTCAGAGAGATTCCAGGATTTCATAGTGTAGTCAAATCCTGATAAAAGTAATGGAAAGAGCATGAAAAAGGGAGAGGAGGTTAAAGTAAATTAGAAGGAATACCATTTTAGAGTTATTATTGGAGAGAGGGAATGGGTAAGTGTATGTTGTATTGTTTGTTAACTGTAGTACTTTAGGGGTGGAGGGAACTTTCAAAAACATTTAGTTCAACTTTTGTGCTCTTTCCCACAATCTCTTGCTTATACCTCTTTTCCAGAACCCCACCAAATGAATGTGCAGCCCCTTCCTGAACTCCTGAACCTCCGAGCACTATAATGTAACACTGGGCCTACCATCTTCTCTCCTCTTCCTTTTCTCAGTCTACAAATAGAGTTAATAAATACCTACACTTCAAGACTGTTGTGAAGCTAAATGATACAAATATAAAATTCCCAGCATATAGTAGATACTCCTTAAATGTTACTTTAATTGTTTAACTTTCCAATTTTGTCTAGAAATTTATTAGATACAATTAATCTTTTATAGTAGAAAATCTGGACAAAGTAAAAATAGTCATTTAAACTTTTTTATTTGCCCTGATCTAGCAGCTTTATTTCCTTTAAAATTCCCATACCACCCAAATGTTACTTCCCTTCCCTCTAGTGATTCATTCCTTCCCCAGGGAGCCCCAACTGATCTCTTTAAACACTTCAGAATCTTTTTTGTATATGGATCCTGGCATTTGTTTCCCTATCACCTACAGGTTCTAGCTCACTTCCTAGGGAAATTTGTGGCAAGTGTTATCCTATTCTTTATGGAGAAACCTGAGCAAAGGCAAATGCTTAGAGAGACTAGGCAGGTAACATAATTGTGTAGAGGAACAAGACCAAAGAAACCGGACCAGTAGCCAACTACCAGTCTGTGGTAGGAACTGAGGCATATTGGAATGCCCATGTGCCATTCAAAAGCAGCAGCTGCAATTCAGCACTAACAGATTACTACCATCTAACTAATTCAGAGACATTTTCATAACTTTGGAAACCATTGTATGAGCCAAATAAAATATATCTATGAGCTAGATCAGGCATGAGAGTCATCAGAATGAAACTTCTGTTTAGAAAATTGCAAAGAGTTATGCCTCCCTTACTGTTTTTTTCCTGGTTAACAAGCACAGCCACTTTATACTGTTAAGCAGGCTATGCTGGGCATAGAGTGGGTGGGGGCTGAAATCCAGCCTGTCCCCTGATCACCAGGATTTTCTCTAATTGACCCCAAGGCACCTGTGAACTTGCATCAGCCCAGCTGAACATCCTGGTCGCCTTCAGCCACTCTTCGTGACACAGCTTTTCTACTTACCTCACCATCAGACTTTTTTTCTTCATAACACAGCACAATTCATTAAAATAGAAATTCTAGACATTGTCTAGAAATACAAAATGTGGTCTGATCAGCACAGGGTGTCAACTATCTCTTCCTTTAATTTAGAAAAGAAATTCTTCATTTTGGGTTATTAAGACTTCATAGTGTTCATATATTGATTTCAAGGCATTTCAAGGAATCTACAAACCCATTTAAGATTGTGTTCAAGATTTTGTGGTGTTTGCATATGTTTATGTATATCTTTTAATAGATTCTTAAAGGAATAAAACCCAAAAGAAGATTCAGCTTCTACTAAAGACTTTCAATTAATGTAGTCTGTAGTGTTAGGTTTTGGGAAGCAGTCCCATCAGAATATTGACCAATGCTGAGCTTAGTTTCTGCTAGAAGCCATTTTTCTTTTCTTATATGTTGCTGCAAACCCATAATCCCCTACTGCTTATTGTTGTAATTACCTACACCACCCTAACCCAATTAATGCTGGTGTAATTAATTCTTTAATCTCAGTCTAAGACCTAACCTTTTTATTTTTTCAATTTTATTATTAGATAATTCTAAAACCTATAATATTACGATTCTAAGACTTAAGAAAATAATACCTGCTCAAAGATTCAGTTGATGTGTTATTTATGTTAACTTTTTTTTCTTCTCTGCAGGTCGAAAGTTTAAAAAGTTCAATAAAGTCAGAGTTATGAGAGCACTAGATGCTGTGGCTCTCCCACAGCAGGTGGGCATTCCTAATGAAAACCAAGCACTGAGCCAGAGAATTGCCTTTTCACCAAATCAAGAGTTACACTTGATGCCCTCGCTGATCAAACTGCTAGTGAGCATTGAACCAGATGTAATCTACTCAGGACATGACAACAGCAAACCTGATACTTCTAGTTCTTTGCTGACTAGTCTTAATCAACTAGGCGAGAGACAACTTCTTTCAGTAGTCAAGTGGTCCAAAGCACTGCCAGGTAAGAATCATTTGTAAATTCTAGCATTTAATAAAATTTTTACTATGTTTGTTATACTAGTTGATTGTTAAATAAAATAAGTCTGTGCAGTAAATTAACTATAATGTGAACAGCAATTATAGTATGTGTTTCAGCCGTTCAAAATATTTATCTAGGATCCTAGATTATCTGCTATTTGTCTAGGACCCTGCTATGTGCTATTGAGATACAACAGATGTAGATAACACTCTGAATCTTATTCATGAGTCAAGAATTACATACATCAAACAGTTAAAAAACAGCACAAGTTTATGTGTTCAACGACAGACATCGTAGTAGTTCAGAGAAAGACAATTGACCATCTACTTAAAAATGTCTAGTTTGTTCTAAACCCTAATTTGACCAAGCCACATGGGTTTGAAATAAAACTGAACAGATCTATTATACCATAAATCAAAATAGTACTCAGAGTACAGGAGGGTATCTACAGGCAATTGAGAAGCAAAATTCCTCAAAATAAATGAATAATTTTGACAGAAGTGAACCGCCAGTAATTATTTTCCCTAATTTCTTCCCAAGCTAAGGGGGTGCCAATTAGAATTTAAATCATATCATCATGTAAGGATTTCAGTCGCATAATTCTGTTTTTGCTCCCTGAGCACCATTTTACAGGAGCAAAGAGATTGAAAAAATTAGAAGGATATAGTTCTCACGTGGTTCAATCTTAGATGGCAGAGCCAGGACAATATGTGGGTAGTAATTGTTTGTGGAAGTGTTAATCCTGTAATGAGAAATAGGACTTTTTAAAATTATATTCTCTTTACATGAATAATATTTTTATACTCCTTTAGACCAATTTATTTTTTCTAATATGTGATCAAAAATTAAACATATTATGTCATTTTAATCTCCAAGTAAATTCAATAGCCTTTTAAAAATATAATTTCTTCCCAATTTGCCTTAATATATTTCTCAGTTATTCTACCTGAAAAGGTTGAAATACAATAAATGAATTGTTATTGAAAAATTCAAGGTTACATGAAACATAAAGAAAAGCAGATGCCTGGTTGTTGAATATCCTTTAGAAAATACATGTTAAGAAAAATTAATAAAGTTCACTCTTCCAATGGAGATAAAGCAATTTTATAGAAAAATCAAAATGCCAGGTTCTTATTAGCATCAGTCTTGTTGAAAGGCCTTGCATATAATATTTTTTCTATTAGAAAAGTTCTGGATATTTAAAACTTACAGTAAAGTACTTATCAAATATGATAGATCTTTATTAAATAAAAATGTTACAATAGGATTTTTTTTCTTTTTAAAAATGAGTGTTTATATTTAACTTTTCTCAGTTTGTTATTTAGAGAAGATAATTTCTTTGATTTTTGTTAATATAGTTTATGTTTCTTTTGTTGGTGTTTGGAGGTTCTTTACTGCTTAAACAGATTCTTCTATTGGCACAGTTAGAAAATAACCAGCTATAATTTAAAAGATAATTTTTATTCACTTTGGATAAAAGCTAAGTGAGCTTTTCACATTGAAAGCCTGTTACCTGTCAAGATTTTTAACTTCTGCACACCTTCAAAAAAGGTGAGAGGAAATTTTTAGATTTTGTTTGGTGGCAACTTTTTTAATGTTGTAAAATGTATTTAGTGTAAGTAAAAGGAATGATGGCATCACCTATCACTACTGTTTTCATTAACTGTACAATAAGGAAAGAATTAAGATCATCAAAGCATAGTGTGCCACATAATCTTTTAAACAATATTTGCATAGCCTGTGTTCAGGGAATAACTCAGATGAATGAAAGATGAAAGCAGTTAATGAACCAGAGTGAAAGGATTTGGATAGACATATGTATGGAAAGTAATACGGTATCATTAGCTTCTCAAAACCTTTCAGTTGACTGAAAACCAGAATACAGATTTTATGGACTAGATTCATTCTATAAATGTTTATTGCATACGTGCTATGCCCAAGACCTACAATTAAGCAGTGGTGCTTGGACAGGAAACCAGAAGCCTGTGTTCATGGTGTAAATGCATTTTGACAGAACACATCCCAGAACCTGGTCATCAGTTTTGCGCATAGAGAACTTACTTTATCCAGTCACTCACATGTTTCTTTCTTTCATTTTTTAATGGTATCATATTACTTCAGGTGTACAACATAGTGATTAGACATTGATATACCTTAGACATTTATGAACTGATCACCATTAATATATCTAGTATCCATCTGGCACCATACATAGCTATTGCAATATTATTGACTGTATTCCCTATGTAGTACTTTATGTCCCATGATGATTTTTTTAAAGATTTTTAAAATATATTTTTTAGAGAGAAGAGAAGGGATGGAGAAAGAGAGGGAGAGAAACATTGATAAGAGAGGAAAACATTGATTGGTTGCCTCTCACATGCCCCTGACTGGGGACCTGGCCTCCAACCTATGCACATGCCCTGACCAGGGACTGACCTAGTGACCTTTCAATTTGTAGGTTGGTATTCAACCCACTTGGCCACACCAGCCTGGGCATCCCATGACTATTTTTATAACTGGAAGTCTGTACTTCTAAATCTCTTTTAGAATTTTCAACATTTCCCCACACCCTCCTATCTGGCAACCATCAGTTTGTTCTCTGTATCTATGAGTTTGTTTTTGTTTTGTTTTGTGGGTTCATTTATTTTTTAGATTCCACATGTAAGTGAAATTATATGATATTTGTCATTTTCTGTCGGACTTATTTAACAGAATACCCCTTAGGTTTATGTATCCATATTGCCACAAATGACAGTATTTTACTCTTTTTTGTGGCTGAGTAATATTCCATTGTCAGTATGTACTATATTTTCCTTATCCATTAATATGTTGATGGACACCTAAGTTGCTTCCATAGCTTGGCTATTGTAAATAATGCTGCACTGAACACAGGAGTGCATATAACTTTTTGTTTGTTTTAATTATATTTCATTGATTATGCTCTTACAGTTGTCTCAATTTTTTCCCTTTTGCTCCCATCCACCCAGCACCCACCACTCTCTTAGGCAATCCTCATACCTTTGTTCATGTCCATAGGTCATGCGTATAAGTTCTTTGGCTACTCCATTTTCTATTCTATACTTTACATCCCCATGGCTATTCTGTAACTACCAATTTGTACTTCTTAATCCCCTCACCTCTTCACCCGTTCCCCCACCTCCCCCTCCCATCTTGCAGCCATCAAAAGGCTCTCAGTATCTGTGATTCTGTCTCTGCTCTTCTTGTTTACTTAATTTTTTTTTACACTATCCTTGATTTTTTGGATTCTTTTTTCCTCCTGTTGTTCTGATTGGATGTCTTTTTCTTCTTTATGTTCCAAATCATTTATTTGATTCTTTGCTTCATCCACCCTGTTGTTGATTCCCTGCAAATTGTTCTTCATTTCATTTTGTGTCTCCTTCATTTCTGATTGGATCATTTTTATGCTACTCAAATAACAATAGAGTTCCTTGAGCATCCTTATAGCCAGTGTTTTGAACTCTGTATCTGATAGATTGCTTATTTCCACTTTGTTTAGTTTTTTTTCTGGAGTTTTGTTTTTTTTTTCTTTTATTTGGGCCATATTTCTTTGTCTCATTTTGGTAGCTTCCCTGTGTTTGTTTCTATATATCAGGTAGAGCTGCTTCAACTTCCTGTCTTGGTAGCATGGCCTAATGTAGTAGGTGTCCTATAGAGTCCAGTTGCACAGCCTCCTGTATTCCCCCAGCTGGGTTCTCAAGGTATGCCCTCATGTGGGCTGACTACTCCTTCTTCTTGTAGATGAGTCTTGATTCCTGTCGGCAGCTCAATGAGAAAGATTTACCCAGTCCAGACAACTGGAAGGCTGGCTGTGATCCATGCACAGCAACCACCTTCCTCCGTGGCTTGTGGAGGTAGTTGGGTGGTGCTTTCATTTGGTCTGTAACTGTCCATAGGGGGCATAAGATCTGGTGTTTCCAGGTGGTGCAAGTCAAGATCAGCCTCCACCTGTGTTCTGTCTGGGGCTGCTTGGCACAAACTGTAAAGCGATTTGCAGGTGGCTGCTGCTAGTGCCAGGCCTGAGGCTGCTCAACAAGAGGTACAGAGTCTGGGCTCAGCTATTGATATTTTGGGCAGATTTAGGAAGGTGTAAAGCCTGTACACAGCACAGGCCTTCATATGGAAAAGCCACTGTTACCAGCTTGGATGGATCTGTAAGTTGAATGGTGCAGACCCTTAGGTAATTGTCAAGGCAGGGCTTACTGTGTGACCCAGATTAATGATGATTCAGATATAGTGCTGCTGTGCTGTGGCTCTGTGTAGGGGAGAGCTCAGAAAAGTTACAATGGCCACTGTCTGCAGTTCTGCCTGGGAGGAAGCCCTCCCCCAGATCTCTCCCTGAAGCAAAACACTTCATTTCCTCCCTATGTGCCATTGGTGCCCTATGTGCCATTGGCTGCTGCCTCGGTGCTGGAGCCCAGAGGGAGTGAGTCTGAGTAAGTCCATGTGCAGTGGGAGGCCCTTGAAGAAGAGAGGCCTGAGAATCCTGCAGTTTCTTCCGCTGACCCAACCCTCACTGGTTTTCACAGCTAGAAGTTATGGGGACTTACCTTCCTGGTATTGGGACCCATGGCTGGGTGGCCTGGTGTAGGGCTGGAATCCCTTGCTCCTGGGATATCCATCTTTTTCATACCCACCACACGTGGTTGTAGGACCAGCCCATTCTGCATCTCTGCATCTCCACCCCTGCATCCCTCCCACCCTTCTGGACGAATGTGGTTTATTTAATTCCTTAGTTGTCAGACTTCCATAGAACTTGATTTTCTGATGGTTCTGAGTGATAATTTTGACTTGTAGTTTAGCCGTAACTTTACTGTGGTTCTGCAGGGATGTGTGCTGCATTTATCTACACGTCCATTTTGACTGAAAGTCCAGTCTTTTTAAATTTATTGGGACTTGTTGTGTGGCCTAGAATGTCTATCCTGGAAAATATTCCATGTACATTGAAAAGAATGTATGTT